TTTTAGGAAAGTTATCCCGCCCCATACTGGACTTTTTAAAGAGCTAATTGCCTAAGTCATATATAGAAGTTCTGTGGCACATTTTCTTTTCTTGTGGATGGCAAGAAAATTAATAAAAATGACATTCATCATAGCACGCTAATAACCTTAAACCCTATGTTCTTAGCATACTCCATGTAAATTACTACCCTGTATTTTCATTATTTAATTCGTTTGCTGTTTCTAACCCACTAGTGAGGGTTAAAATTCATCCTTCAAAACATTTACATGCCACCCCCTGCATGAAATTTTCCCTACTTCCTCACCTCCACCCCTAGCCCATCACCAAGTTGTAGTTAATCTCTCTTCTGTGTGCCTTACAGCTCTTTCTTCATCTCTCTAATAGGGTGGTTATTAAGTTTTCTCTGTTTCAGTATTCCTGTATTATCTCCCATTAGAATGCAAGCTTCTGGAGATCAGAGATTCGGTCTTGTTCATATTTCTTTGCACAGGTAAATACTCAATGAACAATCATTCTTATTTAATGATGGAACCTAAATTTTCCAAGGACAGTAGAACCTCTATAAGTTGACCACCCAAAGGACTATAACAAATTGGTCAACATACAGAGGTGGACAACATAAGGAACTTACATACAGTGCATGTGGTACTTGTCCAGTCTATGAAAAGTAGGTCAACTTAAGGAGGTGGTCAGTGCAGAGAGGTTTCAGCTATGGAGGTTCTGCTGGATTTTAATTTTCTGAACGTTTGTGTGACCTGTCTTTCTAAAAAAATATGAGACATTAAAATTTTAATATCCTTTCCTACAACAGTGGTATGAAAATATGCTATGTCAGAATAGCACCTTGTACTTTGCCAGGTGAAACGTTGTGCTTACCTGAAAACTGTAACTTTTTAACCATAAATCAATTTAAAGTAAAGGATTGTTGGGGGGGGGGTTGTTATTGTTTGGTTTTTTGTTTTGATTTGATTTTTTTAATCAGAATTTCTTGTGTAGCTGTTAAATTTTGTCCCATATAGTCCAAAGTTTGACAGTTCACTCTGTGATGAAGTAAAGAGGTGGTTTTATTTTGTTGACTACAAAGTTTACACAAAATTTCCAGACCACAAAATAGGCTGTTTCAATTCTCGTGAAACAAGATTAATAATTAAGTTGCTTTCTAGAACCTCATGTGTCCAAAGTCAGGCAAGGAGAAGGACAATTCAAGCAGTATATGAATCAGTGTAAGTTGTTTGGATACTCTCTGATGTAGCTGCATCTACTTTAAATCATGATTCTAAATTCAGTGGTGCTTTATTTCCAAAGTTTTCTGAATTCTTATTGCTTTAATATACATCCTTCAGATTTTACTTTCTGGTTATATATTACTCTTTCAAAACCCAACCTATGTTTTAAGATACTTAAAGGCAAGAATAAATTGTGCATTAACCTTACCCACCAAGATACGGCTTCAAAAATTAATATTTATTAATTTTATGTTGTCTCTCCTTCAGTCTCCAATTTTCATCATGTAACTTGTTGAGTAAAGATCCTAAAGCTTAAAAAAGTCCATACCATTCTTCAATAAATAGATCCGTTGAATCAAAGATTTCCTGAAGCGCTTAAACAGAATGTTTGCTGCATTTTACTTACATGACCTTGACACTAAGACACTGAATACCTTTAAGAGTTCTTAAAGAAGATTTTCTTCTCATAAATCTGTCATAGCTGTGTCTAATCAAATTACATTTTTCCAATATAGTTTGTCTGTCTCCAAAATTATTTCTGGTATGTACCTTACACACACAATTTACTATCTTGATTGTGAGTGCCGGCAGAGTCATTCACTTTCAATAAGAGTAATTGTACTCAGTAAGTTTCTAGGAAATTAGCTTCTTTATTCGTGAAAGAACAATAACCCAAAATTCCTAGCCTTGTTTACTATGTTTAAAAATTAAAATTATCTTAACAAATAGTGCTTAAATGCTGGCAATGGCAAAATGAATCGTATTTCTCTTAAAGTAGCAAAAAGGTTAAGATACTAAGTTCATACTCAATTTTTCTTAAAATTCATCAGAGAAGAAATGAAAGTTCTGTATAGATTCTTGGGGTTTTTTTTAACATCTAAAGTTCTCTTGCCAAGTAAGTTTTTACTTAGAATTACATTTTTAATTCTCAGATCTCCCATTTCTTTGAAACCACTGAATTAAAACACATCACCCACTTATGGAATTTTCACATTTGTGAAAATGAGACCAGAGGAATTGCAAATAATTGTATAAAATGACCTAAGCAGGCATTTTCAGAGCCAGAAGAACAGATGTGTATGCATCCCTAAGCTCTTCAGGTTGTCAGATATAGTGCTTTCCTATTTGCTCCTGAAACTTGTGCTATCATGGTTAATGTTTTGACAGATTTTATCATAGACTTTGCTGTTGTAAATTCGCCTTGAGCCAAAATTTAACATGTTGTAAGCTCAGAAACAGTTTTACTGTTGGTGATCCAGAAAGGGAAATAAATCAATTATGCTCTTTTGAATGATAGGAGGTACAGAGTTTAACTCCTTAAAAGTTATACATTTTTAGAAATTCGGGAGAAATTCTCATTCAGACCTCTCAATTGTCAGTAAAGTGATACTTGCACACTCCTATGACTTTTGCAAGGAAGAATATACCAAAGGAAATATTATATGGTTTATATGTAAATTTTAATACTAAATTTTATAACCAAAATATTATCTCTAATTTTTTTTAAATGAAAAAGTCTTTTGCCTTAGTATATGGAGGCAAAAATGTAAACTCTCAATGTGTGATTAAGTAGTTCAAAAGCTGTGGACTAGCCACTTTGTTTCCAGAGAATTTATCAGAATGCTCCTTAGTGAGAATCTGTTGTATGCTGCCTGTCATCATTATTTTACTACTTAGAGTATTTTATTAAACATGTTCCCAATCATTGCTATTCCTAACAGCCTGTAGACCTAGATTTTTTTCCTCTCTGAAACATCGTCAATGACCATGACCATTAATATTTACTCATAAATGCATTTGTACACAGGCTCAACTATAGCACATCAGTGAAGACAAAAAGAGTTGCTACCCAGTTCTTTACCCTAGAATAAATCAAATCAACAAATATTTATTGAATGTCTACTTTGTGCAAATAGCCCTGCACCGGTCAGCTTTAAAAAGCCATCCAACTTTTCACATTGACAAATCAGAGCATTATTATTTCAAGCATTGCAGAAGCTGCTTCCATGTCTGTAAAGTGACAAAACACATGAGGACTCTGCAACTCCTTGGGGTAAAGAAAGACAAGGAAGAGGAGGCTAATTTACAGAGTGAAAGAGGAGAAAGAGTGCTCTGTGATATCCTCACCAGTGGACTGCACCATGTATGTATGTGTGTGTGTTTATGTGTATGAGTGTATATTGTGTGTGTATGTGTTTGTAGACACATAGCCACACAGAGAAGATTGAATGAATTTGAGAGAAACAGTCTTTCTTAAGGTGCCAGAGTCATAGGCATTCACATTTGGGTCCTGAAGTTGGCTTTAAAAGTAGACTTAATAGTTTAGCTAGCGTTAAGTCCTGTGGTACCACAAAACCAAAATGTGTCATGGAATAATAGGGAGTCCCGTGTTCTAAAACCTGGCTTGCCCTACTGTTATAAGATGACCTCATCAATCAGTAGACTTACAATGAAAGAAGTGACTTCTACATTGTTACTGCAGAAAGCTGTTGTAGCAGGCTAAATAAGAAGATAATTTATAAATAAGAGAAGCTATGGAAAAGCTCATTTTAAAGATTCTAATTGGTATTGAGAACTAAGTAAAAGCTACCAGTAATGGGCCAAACTTGTGCACTGTGTTAACCTATACTATTCATTTATACATTTACATTTATAATTTACATTTACATTTACAATTACATAAATGTAATTAAATTTACATTTATAATTTACATTTACATTTACAATTAACCTATACATTTCATTGTGTTAGCCTGTAAAAGATAAAATAATATATTATCTATCCATATGGGTAAAGAAATTAGTTTTCTTGAGGAAGTATAAAAGGGAAACTGATACTAATTTCTAGCTTTGTCAAATAGAATTAATCCTAGCTGTTTTGCATAGAAGATATGTAGGTGTGTTGGCCACAGATGATACTGTCACTGACCTTTCTCACAGGGGACATCTGGTGTCAAAATATTTGTTTAGAACTAATTTTTAAGTATCAATTTTGACCTCCTTTTGGTAGGCTAAGTTGAATTTCTAATGAAAATCAAAACAGACTCTTTCAACAGCAGCTTTTCTCTTTTTAAAATGCCTGAAATTAATTTCTCATTTTTTGTGTGGGGGATAAAAATCTTGTAGCTGTATTCCAAGTTTGTGCTTCTGTTATCAGATTGTTCGTTATTAAGATTGTCTTGAAACAGAGGTATCTTCTTATATTTTTTATAATTATTTGATACTTTTCCTATCTGGTCATAATTTATTTTCAAAGTCTACCCTGATTGCTTAGGGTAAACTTAGGATTTCTTCTCTCCTTGATAAAATCATCTCTTAGCTTTCTTAAAAGTAATAAGCACTTTCAGTATGTCAGTACATACGTTGGTTTGATAGCTTTCATCTGTTTTCATTGTGTATTGAAATTAATGTCTTTGGATATGTTCTAAATAAAATTTCACTTGAATGATCCAGGTCCAATGCTTATATTCATGAAGAAATATCATCTTTAGACTTGTTTGTAATTCTCACCTCCTCTTTCTTCATCTTTTGACCAAAATTCCCAATATTCAGACCCTTTTACCTAGGACCTAGCCTGAATTCACCTGCCCCCTTGTGGTATTCCTCTCTGAAAAGTTAATTGATTTCTAATCTTTAGATTTTGTGTTACATAGCCTGAGAAGACAAGCCTCATTACCATTGTCTCATAGTCTAGAATCAGAAGGATTTTCTCTCTTAGTCAGTAACTAACATAAAAAGATGGAAGGCATTCATATGCATATGTACATACAGGTTTTTTAATGGAATGCTTCACAAATTTGCGTGTTATTCTTGCACAGGAGCCATGCCAGTCATCTTCTCTGTATCATTCCAATATTAGCATGTGTGCTGCCTTGTGAGATCTACTGTTTAATATGTAATTCAGAGCACAAGAAAGAAATCGGTCACTATGAAGAAATGAGAAGCTTAGAAAAAATGATATACTTAATTTTATTAATCAATATTGTGACCTATAAATTGATAAACTAAAGAGATATTGCAGAAGTTCTCTAGCCAGGTGCAGTCATTCATGCCTGTAATCTTAGCACTCTGGGAGGCTGAGGTGGGAGGATACTTTGAGCTCAGGAGTTCAAGACCAGCCTCAGTAGGAGGGAGACCCTGTCTCTACTAAAAATGGAAAAATTAGTTGGGCATTGTAGTGGGCACCTGTAGGCCTAGCTACTCAGGAGGCTGAGACAGTAGGATCATTTGAGCCCAGGAGTCTGAGGTTGCTGTGAGCTAGGCTGATACCACAGCACTCCAGCCTGGGCAACAGAGTGAGAAGCCGTCTCAAAAAAAAAAAAAATTTTTTTTCTCATAAAGTAACTTAAAATCAAGTTTAGTCTCCATCAGTGTCTCCATTTTTTTTAGTGAGTAGAGAAGGAAAGGAGACTGCTATTTCATTTAAATTTTAAAAAGCTTTTTATCACAGATGAGTTTATAAACATCAAAAACAAATTAAATCTTGTATAATATATAGTCAGATGTGTTTGATATGATTGGCACAACTAGATTTTTGTTTTCTTCTCTCAAGAAGGAATCCTTCACGTGCCACAGGACTAATTTTTACTAATTTCTTTCAATGGAAGTCAGTAGCTAATTTGCACATGGAGAAGGAAAGAATAAGTTCAGTGAGTGAATTCCCTTAGCCACAGAGGCAGAGACATTTTGCAAGAAAGGGAAAATAAAGGGGAAAAGGAATGAAAAGCACTATTTACACAAACTACTTGTCTTTCTTCAAATGAAGAGATGGATTAATAAATTATTATTGTTAGCAAAAGCCCAGGTAACATTTTAAAGATCTACTTTTCTGTCTGTTAACTATAAAATATTTCTGCCAGGGAAGAGTTTTCTCTTCCTACGGTGTTCTACCTCCCACTCTCAATTCCCACCAAAGCCTGTGGGATTGAGTAATGGTGATATTCTGTGGCATTTTAAACATCATATCACCTCACTGAAGATCTAAAAGAAGAAGCAGGCATGCAGGCTTTAATAAATCTATTTGTAGGTCAACTCCCCAATTTCTAGTATCTACCGCTCCTTTGCAGTTTCTCTTAATTTGTAACAGTTGACCTACTAACAGGTTCCCAGAAACACAGGTTCAAATTTTGGCAGGCTTACCTCACCTCTTTGTCCTTCCAAAGTACATAAATGCTAAACTGTTCACAGTGAGGAAGAGAAAGTCATTCCAACCAGATTTTTAAAATCAAGACCCTTTCTGTTCCCTACCAGGTTACTGCCATCCTTTCCAAAGAAATAAAGTTTTGTCAGTGTGCCCTTGGCATAATTTCTCCAGTCTGGATTAAACACAGGTGACTGAGAGTCTGCCTTATCTCAGCAGGGCATTAGTCACTCTATAAAAGTTAAATTTATTATGAAATGCTTTGTTTGTGTTAACATATATCTTCTCTGGGAAGTTGGAAACAAAGGCATGTCCTTTAAGACTCTATAAGGGGAAAACACATCCTCCTTTGGAATTTAACCTTAATTTGAACCAAGATCTGTGAAAGAAAAGTACTTTGGTGTATTGTTCCCTTGCTCCACCCTTCTATCCCCTTATCTAAATGGAGTTACTGTTGCTTTGTGTTTTTTTTAACTCTTCTAATTCCAAACCTTGCTTTCTTAAATTTAATATTTATCCTAGGAGAGAAATGTGTTAAAATAATTGTGGCATACAATTATACTTTGCTTTGAAGAACGAGTGGCTTGATGTAATGTATTAATTCTGACATCCTTAAAGTTGAGCACACAGCCAGGTTATAGTTATACACCTTAATTGTTCATTCTGTGGTTTAAAGGTACACTGTAAAGAATATTTTATTTCCTAAAAATCTTATTTTCTACCAATCTTCTCTAAGATCCTCTTACTAGTAAACATTGTCATGTATACATAGTTGACACCAGTACAGAATAATTAAAATTAAGAAAAGTTTACCATAGGAATAATGATGAGGTACTATTTGAAAGACCAGTTTTCAACCTCTGTTTTCCTTCAGTCTGTTTGCAAAGTCTTTGTAATGAATGCTTCCATGGACCTAAAACCCAGAGGTGCCCAAAGCTGCTTTGCAAAAGCAAAAGCAGAACCTCTGTTACTGCTACCCTTAATAAACAACAGCCTAGTTGTTTAGGAGCATCAAAAGAAATTAGGTCAAAAAGAAAATATTTTAATTTGATGTTAAAAAAAACACTGCTTATGTAAATGATTAACATTTCTTTAATAGAATCTACCAACAAACTTGTAATCATCCAAATGATTTTCCTTTATTGAGTTTTATTAGATTAAAGAAAAATCACAAACTATATTCAAATATGAGCTTAGATATCGATTCATTCTGAAAAAAAGAACATGATTTAAGAATGTACCTGTATTCCACCCCTCTCAAAATAACTATCCTCAGCATTAATTGATTGAAAATTTCTTACCAAAAAAGAAAAGAATTTAAAGCAAAACATGTACAGATTCCTTTGGTGACATAGTTCCTTGTCTCATATTTCATTTAAACTATAATATTGAAATTAGTTTGACAGACATTTTTTATGTGAAGTGTACACATAATACATTTAGAAAATTAGGACCTTTATCCCAAGTAACATCAAATCAGGATATCATTGTTCCCTCAGCCCCACCAATATACAGATACTGGTTCCACCTCAACCAGCCCTCCTATAACTACCCTTGAAGCTTACTCTCTCTGCCTCTTGTTACACTTGGCTATATACTACCATTGTTATTTAAATTCTTCTCAAGACATTTGAGAAGAATAAAATAGGAATAAAAAATAACTTCCTAGTATGTACCAAGTTTCTTCTTGAAAATTAAAAACTCACTTAGAGCAATAACAAGTTTGCAATTTGATTTACATCGCAAATTTTCTTTTCTTTCTTTTTTTGTTTTTTTGAGACATAGTTTCACTATGTCGCCCTTGGCAGAGTACCATGGCATCACAACTCACAGCAACCTCTAACTCTTCGGCTTAAGTGATTCTCTTGCCTCAGCCTCCCAAGTAGCTGGGACTACAGGCACCACAATGTCCAGCTATTTTTTGGTTGCAGTTGTCATTGTTGTTTAGCAGGCCCGGGCTGGGTTCAAACCTGCCAGCCTCAGTGCATGTGGCCAGCGCTAACCACTGTGCTACAGGCGCCAAGCCTTGATGCAAATTTTCTTTTCTTTTTTTTTTTTTTTTT